TGTCACCTTTTGGCCATAGTCCATACGGTTACACTGTTACCAAAACTATCGGACCATTATCATTTATCTAATATATAATAATAGTTACAATTGTCAAATATCACTTCACATATCAATCAAACTCCTTGACTCAAACGCATGAATCATCCCAACAACCGAGCAGCATCAGAGTCAAATCCAAATAGATCACGCAATTCCGTGTGGGCTTTCCTCAAGCAAGATTCAAACCTGAGCTGAGTTAGATGCAGCCAGATGTTCAGGTAGATTCAGGTAGTTTGGGTACCCAGACCGGACCATACCGTATCGTACCATACGGTACTGTACACAAATTATCATTTGCTATTCCCACCATCTTGCGCAACAAAGAAGTAAAACATCCAACAAGAACAACGGTCCAACAATGCGCAGGCAACGCTCCAGTGCCAGAGCAAATGGATGCAGCCAGCAACTCCGCTGGTTGGCTTTGCAGATTCCGGAAAATCTCAGAGGATTCATCTTCAGAATGATGCTTCAGCATCAAAGCGGCCATTACCTCGTTGAGCAGTTGATCGCGGATACCGACCCAGGGTTTATTGCGAGCCAAGCCAATATGTCTAAAGAGTTGTTCAGCAGTAAATACAAGCATCTAAATAAATCTATAAGTGGTCATCAGAGTCATTCATCAGATTATGAATCATATATTCATGTAATGAATCATCATATCATACATATCATATTACATATCATATATAGTCTAGTCATATCACAGACAGAGTCATAGAGTTTTAGTCCTAGTCATAGTCATAGTCTAGGGCTCATAGACTCATAGTCGTCTCATAGTCTCATAGGCATAGTCGGCATAGTCATTGAGTCATAGACAAATGATACAACTCAATCAAAAAGCTACAATTACTGTTGACTATTGCAGCATCATATCATTAACCTGTAACAGTGTCTTATTGATGATGAATCATGAGTCATCATAAGTGACTAAGTTGCAATGCCTGTACCATAGTAATTGAGAAAACATACAGCATGCAGCTTGCAGCAACATACAGCATGCATGCAGCATGCAGCATACAGCATACATACAGCAAGCAGCAATTTAATTCAACGGCGGAGTTGCCCTTGAAGCGCTTGAGTGAAGGTCATCAAGGTCCGGGTACTCCTGTAGCTGCCTCCCCAAGTAGCGCTCAACATCTTGCAACTTGGCTTTTCCATCAATCTCAGACACGGATGGAACTGCATCGTCATCCTCATCCTGGTCACCCTGGTCGTGCAAGCTACCTGGCCGAAGAGACTGGCAATGTTGTTGGCCGGTTTTCAAATGTTAAAAATAAACAGAATTGGGAATAATAATGCAATGGGCCATGGGCAATGACACTTTGGAATGTCTGAGAAGACAACTACACACAAATTGTTCTTCTTCAAAAACCAGTTGCGATGGCTCACGTTGGAATCATGCGGAAAGCTCTCCTCAGCCTTGACATCCTCAGCCTTGACTGCTGCTTTGGCTTTGGGAAAAGTCTTGGCAGCAGCAGGACGTCCACTTGGCTGTAGCGCTTTCACCTCCTGCACAAAGCCACACGATTCCAAAATATTGATAGGGCTCGGAGGATTTGGAGGTGGGCGGATGCGGGTTGTTGGAGGCCACTTGGACATAGTGGGGCAAACCTTGCTTCTACCTTTCCTTGCAGCTTGACTCTGGGGTTTTCTGACATCAGGAATATCAGCATCATCAAAGGTTTCCAAACATGTGAAAATGGAACCCCAGCCGTTTCTGGCCGCAGATGTGATTTCAACATCTGCAATCACTTGCGCTTCAAGAAAAGCAAGTCTCTCCTTGAGGCCTCTGTTCTGGAGCCACAAGACCCAATGTTCAAGATTTGCCAAAGGATCTCCGTCAGGATCGTCAAACGCGTCCATATCGTCCTCACCAACTTCTTCTAGCACTTCTCGCCAATACTCTTCGAAGAGGGGGTGTTGCTGGGCAGCTTTGACCGCTTGCCAAAATTCATCTTCGTCCAGCTGGTGGATTACTTCTACAGTCAGTCCAAGTGGCCAATGTGACTGTGAGTCACTAGGTTTGGACTTGGTATTGGCAAGGGTATTGGTATTGCCATTGCCATTGCCACTGCTGCCGCTGCCGTTGCAGGGTGAAGGCTTTGCTGGCATCACCTCAGGCGCTGAGAGGTCCAGCTTCTCTTGAGACTGAAGAGCTAGGAACTCGTTGAAGCTTTGCAAGTCTTCCTGCTTCTTGGTTCCAAATGTCCAGTCAAAGTCGCTAGCTCGGGGGTCATGAGTCTCTCTGAGGTACTTCAGGTAGTCGTTGAAGCTTGGATGGCTCCGGGCTTGCTCCAAAAGGGAGGTCACGGAAGAACTTGACGTCTGTGGATTGTCCGGAACCTCTGCAAGCTCCTGCTTGACCTCAGTGAGATCCATGGGTTGCTTCCCTAATTTGACTAAGAATGCATTGAACTCCTTCAAATTCTCAAGCGGCTCGGTCTGCATTCCATGAAGTTCCCACTCTGAATTTCCAACTCCCTTTGCGCGCTGCACATGCACCAGGAACAATTGGAACAACTCATGGGCCTTTACAGCTTGAACTGCGCGGCCCTCTGCTGTATCCCAGAATGATTCCTCCATCACTTCTTCAAGAGCCTGAACAAGGCCATCATATATCTGCATGGTGGGAGGCTGTAGCGAAGCACTTTTCATCCAATACTGTTGGGAGTCTATTTCTGGCGAGAAAGGTTTGCAGATCAGAAAGTTCAGCTGCAAGAGCATTAGCTGTGGAAGAAGTAGGCATATTGTCGCGGCAAAGCTTTGGTTGCAAGAGAAGACTGCTGACAAGTCAATCCGAAGCAGTGGAGGTCCCACGCAACGGCTGTCAACACAAGTGATGCAGGAACAAAATGTCTGAGCAAGGCAAGACTTCGAGGGTTCAAATACCTCCTCAAGATGGTGAACCCAGATGACGAGAAGATCGGCTATGAGGAGTATAGCGGAATTCAAGCCAAAGAGGAAGTCAGAAAGATTGGCAAAGCTTTCAAAGGAAATGGGCCGGAGCAAAGATCGCCATGGTCATTGCTATGGCACTGCTACGAGGAGGTGCAACAATGGAACCAATGGCAGAGACCTCAGGCAACAAGGACACGGATACTGTAGCGCGCGAGAAGATGGAGAAGCAAGAAGAGGAAATCACAAGATTGAGGAGTGAAGCCATGGACGAGAGGACTGAAGCAGAAGAGTTGAGCAATGGACTTGAAAGGAGCAAGAGATGAACGTGGTGAAAGATCCAGCGCGACGTGAGCAAGGATGGAAGGGAGTGGCTGATCGGGAGCGAGACAGGGCTCAATCAGCCATGGATTCGGCCATGGCATGGAAGCAACGCGCCGAAAGGGTGAAGAAACAGGCAGAAGAGATGAAGGCAAAAGCTGAAGCAACGCGAGATGAAGCCAAAGGGCATGTGAGAATGAATTGTTGAAATGTGCGAAGTTTCAATCATGCTGGAGTGTGAATAGAAGAGTAGTGCGCCCATGCTCATGGTCTGCGCCAGGAACTGTGAGGGGCGCGCTAGGGTTAAAGGAGAGTCCCAATCATTGATGGCATGACAGCCACTGGCGCGCATGCGCTGGATCGTTCAGGCCCAAAGCGATGTGAACATCACGGCGCGCATTTGTTTTCAGTTGATGTAAAGCCGACAAGACCCGGCGCCTAAAGGACACACAAAATACATTTAAACAAGTGGACGTGATGAATTCGTACCCATGTCTTAAGTCAACCCGTCGCCGTCGGGATACATACGTATTTATATATATATATACTTGCACGTTGGCGTGTTTAAACCATGTCTCTTGAAATGTAACTGTTTGCACTTATACCTATGGGTGCATCAACTTCGTAATGTCTCCAGCAGCATTGCCACTTACGAAGATCTTTCAGGGTTTTGTTGTATTCCTCATATCGTTACTGCAAGTTTGATGGACAGCGCAAGAGACCCATCAATTAAGGCTCCTGGGGTAGCTTTTTCTGCGCATTGATACACGCAGATGTACAGTATGAAAACTCACACAGCTGTTTCCTGTTGAGAATGGCCAAGTCAAAATGTATACTCATATGCAACTTTGAGTATTGAAACGCACAGCAATATGATCGAGTATTTAGTTTGGTAGACGATCAAGACACTTTATAGTTATAAGGAAAACGTAAAAATCCGCCCGCGCCCAAGGTGCCGAGGCGTTGTGGAGGCTCGCGTCAACAGCAATCGGAAGAAATCTGCTAGATCAAATCTTAAGCTTTAGCTTGGGGGGCCGTACTTTGAGTTACGAAATTCTGTGTTTTGCAGTGTTTTTTGAAGATTGAAAGATTGGACCAGACGTTGGCGGTGCCGGTTGTGCCTGCCGGGGGAGATCGCGTTGTCGGCATCGTGGACGCTTGTGCAGCCTGGGGGGCACTGCTTTATTGATAGCGCGGGTGTGTTCGTCCGTGTGTCCTGCCCGACCGATACAGACGGACTGACAGACCGAGGCAGACAGACTGAGAAGCGCAAGTTGCTAGTTCCCGGCTCCGCGAGCGCAGGTTGCTGCCGAGCCGGTAGGGTGCTAATGATTCACTTTTCCCATGTATGTCTGGATGTGTGTCTGCATGTATGTATGTCTGTATGCGTGGATGGATGTCTATGTCTGTATGTGTGTGTATGTTTTCCGTTTACTCTGTGCGGGCGGCTTCGACCGCGAAGCGGTGTGAATGTATCTACAGTATTCTACACAGTGAAGAATTTCGGTGCCGATGTAGAAAGTCACTTGCCAAAGAAGACGAATCCTTCCATCATGTTTGATGTTACATGTTCACAATTGTAATGAAAGAACTGACAGAAAATTGCTGTTGCGAAACAAATTCTCTCTCTCTATATATACCTGCCTAGATACATGCCAAAAGATGGCAACGGAGGCGTATATATGGTTATGCATGGTCCAGAGTACATTCCAGGTTTAAGTCTCCGGAGAACTTGATTTCAGGTGGAGACTCGCCAAAAGGACTGCTGCCTGGTGAGCTTTGGAGACTCCTCAGTGTGGTGGCCTTTGACAATGTTAGAGGCTGCAGTGTGCCCACAGGCGCCCAAAGGTGAAAATGAGCACAGCGTGTTTTTTAAAATAAACCACTTGTAGTAGTTTTTCCTGTTGTTTTTGATCATTTTGTTCCATCCATTACAGGGCCACCTGCTGCACCTTGCAATGGCAGATTTTCACATTTGCAGCAAATGCGGCTGTGGCCTCACAGATTCTGCAGCACATTGTGGAGAGTGCCACTTGCATTTCTGCTCGCATTGCATGCAGGACTGTGGGTTTGTTTGATGAAGTCTGCCTTTCAACAGAAACTCATTCTTGGTACTTTTCACAACTCAATTGCCACGACTCTGTCCCGCAGGTTCAGCGACATGGTTCGCTCTTCTCTTGTTGCTAAACTCAGCTCTTTGTAGCCCCTTAAACTCCTTTTTTGCGGCCCCTCCCAACTTCGAACCTTGCTTGGTTGCAAACATAGAATAGAAACCACTTCCGACGCTAGGAGCAAGTGGATTTTAGGCAGTCTCTCGAGGTTGGAGCTAGAGTGACTTCAATGCAGATAACATTTGAAATGAACATGCTTCAGTTTGGCTCTAGTGCAGCCTTTCTTCGTCAACCTTACAAAAAAGATGACATCCCTGATTACGAATTTGAACTGCAGCTACATTGCACAGGTTGAAGGGTGTGAAATTCGTGGCGATCAATTGGTTTTGTGGCTAGTGACTGCCTTTATCTCCTTTGAATACACTTTACAGTTTCACCGAGTTGCCAGCGCCATGTTGGTTACCCAGGTCAGATTCTTGAAAAATGCCGCGGAGGTAGATTGGAATGATTGTCCTGGGGATAGCCTGCCATTTTTACGAGGCAGGGGGCTCTGGTGTCTCTCATCCCAGAGGTTGGATCCTGTGAGAGCTTGTTACTACTAGTAATGCCCTTGTTACTAGTCAATTGTATTATTCCGAGCTTTGTACCCATCTTCGGCCTAATTAGGGTCCAAGATCAGAGCATTTAGTTGCAAAAGAGGAGTGGGAAAAGGAGGCAAGCTCAACACAAAATGGTTGGTGACTCTTTTCTGATTGCAGTTCTCTCTTCCAGGTGACCAATGTCGCATTTCCGAAATTGAGGGCAGTTGGTTCCGCTCCGGCTACCTTTGGGCACCGTTGGCAGCTGTTGAGCAGTAGCTAGGCACACAGGAGCTTTTTTGGAAGGTGCATTTATCATGTAACAAATTACAGATGAGGCACATTCAGCCTATACACGGATTTTGAGAATCTCTACGGGTAAGTATTGTAAACAAGACAGCTAGGTACAACAAGGCATTTCACATGTGTTCAAAACTCCAAACTCGGAGAAATGAGGCATGATGTCGACAATGCAGAGATCATTTTTGATGGCAAGGATGATGCCGATCCCTACCAAGATGAGTGGGCGAGCACCAGCACCGAACTGAAGGAGAAGCCATCGATGTTTGCACTGGTGGCGCGCAACTTTGCCACAATTTGCACAATTTATGAAGGTATTTGGAGTTCTGAAGCGCCACTTGTGTTTTGATTCGGTTGATGACTTCAGTTTAAAGCTTGGTCTAGAGTCTAGCATTGAAACTGCTTTCTGTGAGGTGAGAAGCTTTTGCTTTGCGAGTCCTGCTACCAGCTTTGCAACAAACCCTCAAGCTGTGCACTTTGCAATTCTACAACAAACCTGCGCCCTTCCTATCGCGAGAGATGGGAATTAAGTACTCCAGGCATCTTCGACTCCAGATGGAAATGCAATGAACGGATAAATCGATGCCCAAATATGTAGTAGCCAACAGTCCCTGTCATTGTATAGGCATCCCGTTTACTTAGGGCTGCATACCACAGAATTATGGCATCAGAGGAACCATCGACAGGGAGCAGGATGTTTGCAATTGCATTTCTTTTGCCGTCACCAGAAACAAACGTAAACACATAATTATAGTAAGTCTTTGTTTTTGGACGAACTCTTTAACAAGACAACTGAAGAAATCCAAGAAGCCAAAGGATTTCTGAACAATTTTGGATGTTGCAAACAGTTTGTTTAGTTTGTTTAAGATAGCACTCACAGATACTCACATTAGCTTATTCGTTGAATGATGGTTTGAAAGACTTAACTTCCAAGTCTTCGAATCCAAGCTTACACCATTACGCTTTCATTTAGGTTTGAATGCAATGCAAGTCCTAACTTTGGATTTCAGCTTTTAGTGGCGCACTGTGCCCTATGGTTTGACGTGGAACTTGTAGCTACCATGTGTATTTCATATTCTACAATGATTGTACAATCGGTTCTTGTACATATAGACTTACATGAAACATACATGTACTTTCATGACCAAAGCAGAAAAGGTACAAGTGATCAAACTAGCATGAACCACTGCATGTGTCCTTCAATTGATAATGTTGACTTACTACACAAATCCTTCCAAAACCTCAGAACTATACCGAAGTTGTGTTCTAACAACAATAGCAAACATTGCTAGAGCCAGAACTTCCCAAAAGACTACTATACATGTCCTTCGTACGCGGTGCTTTGTTTACCTTAACATCTTCATGTTTAGCTTGAACGGCCTTTATATGTACTGACTGTCGCCGTTTTTGTGACAAACCCAGACAAGTACAGATGTAGCTAACGAACCAACTTTTCCTTCCCGCTCAAGTTGCGACTGGACTACTTCAGCAGTCTTTTCTCAGCTTGCTCTCCCTCCCTTGTTGCCAAAGCTCAGCCTCCGTTGCATTGTAGGCCAAAACAGAGCAAAAAGGCAAAAAGGCATACCTACTATACAGTGAGTCCAAGTGAGACAGAGAAAATATACTTTTTGACAATTTCTTGCTCAATACAAACTTCTGGACTTCCATTTGGGGAATACTTTACGGTACCTGATGTTTTGGAGCCGGAGCGTGTGGGTCCAGCTGATTGGACTTTCAATCGTTTACAGAAGCGTGGTTCCAGGGGCTTTTTTACAATTTTCATGGACGGCTCTAGAACGAAATGATGCATTTCATTGTTTGGCATATGTTTGCATAGAACAGTTTTGCGGTTCTGTAATTATCAAAGGAAGTTTAGTGTGCAAAACTTCCGTGTTGCGGACATTCAACAGCTGTTCAACCACCACTCATCATACACCACTCATCATACACCACTCATCATACACCA